AGCTCTTAACTTGTAGTTTTTATTTGTCAGTTAAAGTTTTTAAAAATATATTTCATAATTTTGTTTAAAAATGAGCTTCCCTACTATTGAATTCTTTGGTCAACAGATAGAAGGCTTTCAGTTCCCCTTCATTTAGGTAAAACTGGCTTAGTACCAAAGAACAAACACCAGTCTTTTACTTTTTACATTTTATTTGGGCATTTGCAGTACAGAAAAGATGTAGACATGATGCGTAGGAACCCCTCTTACTAGGAAATGCTCATAGGCAGAACACTATTCACTCTTCCGCCACCAGCTTCAGTTTTGCTTGAGATCACAGTCAGTTCAGATGAAAAAGAAACCCTGGATTTGCTGTTTTAGACAGTCCTCAACATTGTGATTGTAATTAACAACTTATGAATTAGCATAAAAATTAAAGACTACTTTTTAATTTCTTGATGATAGTGAAAGATCACAAGTCTTATCTGATCATAGTTCCTTAATATTTGATACAATAATGAATTAATATAGCTCATATATACATTATAAACATTCCTTGTGTAACAATCAATTCCTGTTCTTGTAGCTAGGTTATTAATTGAATTGGTCACTAAATGAGGAATTGCATGTAGTATGTACATTACAATATTTTCACTGTTATTTGCAGTACTGTAATTATAACAACACAAAACTACAGCACTGTACAGTACATTCAGTAAAAATTATACAAATAAGATGGCACTGTACAAAAAAGATAGCCTCTATAAATGATACACACAGAACTATACTACAACTACAACAACTAAACCAAGTCATGAGTCCTAGCACTAGGTCAAGTCCAAACATTATACCTTGGTCATAAGTCCAAACAGTTATTAAACAAGGAATACCTTTAAGTAGGTAATCAAGTATTTTTAAAATTTTTAATGAACAACATATTATTTTTTCTTTTAAAAACCAGTGCTCAGTCTAATCCTAAATCCTATCAAGGGTTACTGGGAATCTTTCTCTTCCCTGAATTTAGGTTTGTTGCCAGTAAGTCCATGGTCATTCACATTCATAAGTAATAACAGATAATTTTCCAAAAAGGTAAAGTCATGACTCTAAGACAGATACAAGATGAAAATGAGATAGATAAAGTCAGTCATTGAATAGTACTGTGGGAAAATGAAAAATATTGCATGTAGTTAACAGATGAATTCAAAATCAAATATATAAGCCCATCAAGAAAGTCAAATGAATTTGCTTCATAGACATACACCTAGTAGGGGAAAGATCTATTGAATCCTCGTGTGACAAATTAATTTGTATATTTGTAAGCATAAATTATTTGAGTTACTCTCAGTTGCCTACAAATTAATTTCTAGAAGTGGTAAAGCAGCTCAGAGACAATGGCCCAAACCCATAGAGTCAGAGAACTTGAAAGGATGTGCCCTGCAGTTTTCCATTGAAGATACTTTAAGTTATTGATCTATTTTTAAAAATTTTACAGTTTATCCTGTATAACTAGTGTTCAAAGGTAAATGTTAGCTAAGAATATTTATTTATTTAAATCCCATATCTTTGTATCATAAATGACTATATGCAGACTGTACCTGGTTTGGTCTAAATCACAATAAGTAAAATTAAGATCATAATCAAATTTAAACTTCACTGATGACAAAAGGAAAATGTTTGTTTTTAAAAATTGCTTAACTGACCCTTCAAAAATAAAATTTGTCTTTTATAGCAAATGGACTGCTGAAAAATATAGGTACATTAATTTTAGGGTTTCATTTAAGTAATCTTACCAAATAGTACCTTTAAACATGTTTGGAATACTGATATATAAAGTGCATAAAATGGACTGTATTTCACTTCAGCTTGTATTAATAACTTAATTGCTCATCAAGTAATCTCTTTAATGGTTTGCTATGTAAGTTTCAGGATGCAGAAATTGAGGGAAAGCAACTAGTTCCCTAAATTATATATTCTATTGTTTTAAAAACATTTCAGTATATAGTATGTGCTAATTTGTTTCATTGATACTAGTAGATTATCTTAATTCATTGAAAAGAAAGTTTTGTGTTGTTTCTTTTTTGTGAAAATCTTTTGGTTTATGTCTTGTACTCTATTTGATAATTATATACAGTGTAATGACCAGTTATTCTCTTTTCATTGAAGATACTTTAATTTTTTGATCTATTTAAAGATATTTTATTTGGTTATTAAATTTTGTTTTATTTTTTCATAAACTAAGAAAAGTAAAGCAATTGGGATTAATGCATTTAAATGGTACACACCATTGAACTTTGAAATTATTTTGGCACAATTGAGTTCTCTCATTCAGTTTGCCAGAATTACACTGAAAAACTTTGAATCACATTTATGAAAAACAAAAGTTCTTCAAGTTCTTTTTACTTTAGAATGGAATATCAGCAGTAGCCTAAATGCACAGTCATAATATTCTTGATGCATTCTTTCCATTTAGAAGCAGATTCCCCATAGTGATCACCTTTCAAACCATTGTCTTCACTGAGTCAGTGTTTTTATTGTAGCTAATTTGAAGCATTTGAAAAAAGTGAAGCTGGACTGTTTTGTGAGTGTCTCACCTGCCCTTGTTAATAGATTGCAGCATTCCACTTGTTAGTACCAGTGACACAGGAGAAACTTACTATTATGCTATTTGGTAACGATGAAGACAGAAAAGGTCTTTTTATGGAGTTGAGCCCTCAAAGCAACTCTTCGTATTTGGTGATAAGGAGAATCAAGTTGGCTGTCAAACAGACATACATTAGCTTGTTATCTTCAGAGCTGATAATGCCTCTTAAATTCCCCGGCTGTGCTGTGACAGGAACCCTTAAGAACTGAAGGCTTGCCGAGCTGGAGAGACCAGAGCACCTTCTTCCTCATAAATACAAGTAGGGTTAACCCTACTCTTGTAGAATACAATAATTTCACATAAATTTTGAACAAAGGCCATGTTGTTCTTCCCTCTGTAGATTAAAAAGTGTTGAGAATTACATATTTGGTGATTGCTATTTGTGGAAATTTCAGTGTATGAAGAATCACAAGATGAAATTAACTACTCTTAAGATATGTGAAAATTAGACGTATCCAGAGATTTAGGGTTAGAATAAATCAATTCCATGGTAAGATTTCTGTATAGGCATCGACTGTCTTTGTTTTGTTTCTAGAGCTGTATAGGTTATGAGAGTACATTGTGTTTCATTATATTGAGTGTTAACCTTTTCTCCACTGATAACAATTTCCAAAGATTTGGCAAATAGAACTTTCTTGCATGGGTAGGGAGAATAAGTGCCTTCATCCCTTAGTGTTAACAACAGGACCTCCACACCCTTCCAGTATCAGAGATTGAACTCTGGACCATGGACTTGCAAGGCAGGCATAGCACCACTGAGCTAAATCCCTGGCCCAGCAACAGGACTTTTATGACTAAATACACATACATGACCATGTTACTAAATTCACTGAGCTTAGTGTCCATGGTGTAGCTGTGGGGGAATAGATAACGGTGTTTGCTATATGCTCATGTTCAGTGATTGCACCTTAAAGTATCAGGCACGATGTATGGGATTCCTAGCACATGCCAGATAATTTGAGAAGCATGATGACTGTTTATGACTTTCTATAAGCATGCAAAATAATTGTATAAAGTAACTTGGCTTTGGAAAAACTAAGAAAAAAATTCTCTAATATTAGTGTACTATGTTTACATCCTTCCTCAGGGGGAAAAAATAAAATAAACACCCATAATTACTGCAAATCAGGTTTTAAAAGATACTGTACTTATAAATTAATCAAAATATGCCTTAAATCTAAACAGTCATTTATTGATGAACTTATTTAGGACTACTTTATTGGTCAAACTTTATTGCCTAATTTAGCTCTGTTAAGCCCATTTGGAAATCAACTTCCTAATACTTCTTTGGGTTTTGCTGGAAATTTACCAAGTCTCAAAGCTTTTTAATTGTTGAATCCAGTTATTTTAATTTAAAATAAGACTCATTGGGAGTTTTTTAAATTCGACATTCTGAAGGCAAATATTCTTCAAGCCCTTGGTTTTTATTCTTTTAAATAGTAGATAAGTTACTTCATAATGAGTTTTAAAAATAAGAAATCAGGAAACTCTCCATCATATTTTTACCATGAAGTAAGAAAAATAGTAATTATGATCCTGGGAATTCTTTAATGACACTCAGGAAAATTCTTCAGAAAGCTAATTCAGTGGATTAAACTCTGAAGAAACTCCTAAGGAGGGTGAGCAGAGGGGAAAGGGGATACATTCTGAATACCTCTTTGAATATAAATTTTTAAAATATGTAAGTTAATATATATACTTCATAGGAGAGAGTTATTACTGACATAAATATTTGTACTTTTGTATTTCAGAATTATATGGAAATGGTAATAAAGTTGGTAAAATGCTCAATATATATGAGTACTATTAAGTTCTTAAAGCATTTTGATAGAATTCTAAATTGGTTCTTATACTCATTGGCCCTACCAAATACTGTAATCAGATTCTAGTGGTGGCTGTCAGAACAGTGAGTAATTTAATATTCTATTAAGAAGCTTTGAAAGGAAGAATCCAAACAAGTAAATATCCCTTTTCTCTTAATATGCAATGGGGGAATTAATTTGGCTTGTATCTCAGGTTTACCTTACTTGAGGAATTGGAGTATATTTTGTGATAATTTACAGAATATTTCAGTGGCTCTTTATATAATTCAGTTGAATCTGTGCTCTCTTAATAACTTTTACAAAAAGAAACTCATGGAAAGTTAGTATTATTTGTGTGTGAATTTTCCAATTGTATTTCAGACTTTAAGAAAGAAAGGCCTTAATGGTTGTGAGAGCCCTGATGCTGACGATTACTTTGAGCACAGTCCACTCTCGGAGGACAGATTCAGCAAACTAAATGAAGATAGTGATTTTATTTTCAAACGAGGCCCTGTAAGTACTTTCACTTTACCTCTACTTTTTATTTGTTGATCCTTTTTGTTAACTTCATTATTTAGGCTCTGAACAAGAAGGAACACAGAGGGTGCGACAGCCCAGACCCTGATACTTCATATGTGCTAACTCCACATACAGAAGAAAAGTATAAAAAAATTAATGAGGAATTTGATAATATGATGCGGAATCATAAAATCGCAGTGAGTACTATAGTATGGTTTGTGCTTTTATCTTGTGCATGAAGAGATTGACCACACCTTATTTATTTTTATAATGGGTAATGATAACTAATTAGGAGGGAAAATAAGTAGTTTTATTAACATTTTTTATTTTATAGAACTTTAAAATTGCCGAAATCTTATATATGTTCAACATCTTAAATGTTAGATGTAAAACACCCTAAGCCAGGTCCTGCTAGTTACTTACCTTTATATCTTTAGATAGGGCACCTAAACATCCTGAATCCTGTTTCTTCATCTGTAAATTGAGTTGGTTCACATAGCTTTAAGATCTCTTCCAGTTCTAAAATTTCATGATTTTTAATGTGAAATATATACATATATATATATACATATATATATACATATATATACTTTCCTTCTCTCCCTTGACTTGAAATATGTATCTTACAATACATACTTAGGTAGATCTTAAGAATGCCAAATGTAAAGTAGTTGGGTTTATTTCAAAAGTTGGTATTTTGAAATTACTTACAATATTTTATATACTTGCTTTAATATTAGTAGAACTAAGCTTACTGTATGGGCCTTTGGAAATGTCCCAAAAGCACTGGCTGGGATTCCACCAAATTTTTATTCTTATGCTTTAAGTACAGAGGAAGAGAGACCTGGAATAATTTAAAGGAGCAGTGTTCTTAAACTGACTGCAAAATAGACATTTTAAAATTTTCCTGTGTTCATATATCCAGTGACAGTGAAACAATACTTTTTTGAGCTCATGCTCCTGGACTTATAGTTCTTCAGAGAGTTTTCACTGGAAGCTCATTGGCAAGGACCACTTATAACTGTTAGTCTGGATCTAATTTTTAAATTCTGTATATGTAAGCTTTCATGGAAAAAATTATTTCCAATGCTAGTATTTACATCATTGTTCATGTTAATTCTCTTAAAGATATCTCTGAAGAATTCATCCTATGTCATTTCCTCAAAGTAATTCTCTAAGCTCATTAAAAATAGCTTTAAGGTGCCAGGGATTTAGCTCTGTGCTTTGATGGCCTGCCTTGCAAGTGCAAGGACCCAAGTTCAATCCCAGGCACCAAAAAAAAAAAAAAATCTTTAAGGAGGTGTATTTTTGGCTAATAGCATTCATTGTCAAAACAACAGCAAACAAAGTAAAATCTCTCTGACTTCACAGGGATATTATTCTTGCTGTTGATTTTAAACTGTGAAACATTGCACAAATAAAATTGTTCTGTTAGTATTTTTTTTCCTCATTGAGTTTATTGGCACATTTTAGGTATACAATAGTTACATTCATTATTGAGATCTTGTACCTTTACATGATGGGTCCTGGTTCTCATTTTTTCCCCTTGTCCCTGCCCTCGCTTCACCCCCTCCTCCCCTCCCCATTTACAAACATTTTATTTCCGTTTTTCATTTTCTCCAAATTGTTTTATTATTGAAAAAATGTTCTGATGTATCTGTTTTTATATTTGTTGGTGAATTGTTATAATTTTTCTACTTGAAATTGTATTGAGTAGAGCACATAACCTATATTCTTCCAACTTTGAATTAGCTGTGGTACTTACTTTTTCAAATCACTAATGTAAAATGAGGGCAAGGGATTCTTTTTGTTTTTATTTTATTGTTTGTTTGTTCTTCCCCTTTTTACACATTTCTGTTGGCTTCAACCATCAACCACCAGTGGTATATGTATGACTGTCCCATTAGGCAGCTTGTACCAACGAATAGATTGTCACATGCCACCTGATGGGACAGTCATGCCTATATGAATGTTCTATCAGTAGTTCAGAGCTGCCTGGCAGCAAGACATATGAAATACAGCCCCATTGGGTATGTGTTAAATTATAAAGAGGACTGTCATTTATCATGATGAACAAATATATTGTAAATGGTCTATGTAGGAAATATAGGAGGAAAATAGAATGGGAATATTTGATGGGAGGGAAAATCTATTATAAAGCTTTGTAGTTTAATCTTCATGCAATTTAAAGGAGATACCAAAAATTTCATTGTTTGCCAGTAATTTTAAGTCTTTATGTTTTTTTCATTACACTCAGATTACTTTGTGCTGTGTTATGTAATTACTTGCTTTTTCTTTATTTTTGCCCATCAAAGAATGTTTGTCAATCAAGTCAGACTGGGGCTTGTTTGTAAGGTCCCAAACTTGACATATCAAGTTAATAATATGTATGTACAATTTTCCCTTTTTGTAATATTTTGGGATCTTCCAAAAGAAATGTAATGTTACTAAACTAGTTTGCCTTGAAGTGCCTATTAATGCTTACTTGGTAACAGTGATATATTTTGTGATGTCTAAATTCAATAAACTTTAACCTCTGGTTTTAATTTCTATGAAGATTTGAAATATAGAATATATTTTATTAGTGTATATATTATATAAAATACTGAAATGAAAAGGTTTGTGTCATATATGTTCATGTTCAAATATAATTTTCAAGAAAATAGTTTAAATCTGCAAATTGATTAAATACTTATCCTTTACTTTTAATAATGCAAGTTACCTTGTCACAATTCATAAGTTACTTAATGTAGAAATAAATGAAACTAAAGGTTTTCTCCTCCTTGTTCTTTGTTAACAGCCTGGCTTACCACCTCAGAACTTCTCGATGTCTGTCACAGTCCCTGTGAGCAGCCCTAATGCTTTGTCCTACACTAACCCAGGGAGTTCACTTGTGTCACCTTCTTTGGCAGCCAGCTCCACGTTAGCAGATTCAAGCATGCTCTCTCCTCCTCCTGCCACGTTACATAGAAATGTATCCCCAGGAGCTCCTCAGAGACCACCAAGTACTGGCAATACAAGTATGTACCTGTTCTTTTGGTTTTTAAACAGAGAATGAAAAGTTAATTGCAAACCTAAGATATTTATTTTTCTACCAGTCTTAATTGTATTAACTTAGCTAAGCAAGAGTCACTGTTAATAGAACTGGATCCATTTTAAAATTGTATCCTTTTTAAAATTGAGGGTGAACCATCATGTTAGAAATACAGGAATAAACTTGCTGGTGAGAGAGCATCTTTTGCATTTCCTCTTGTCGGAATTAGTTCAGGATTTCAGTAGAAAATTGCAGTGCACTTGCTGTACTAGTCTGTGTGATAATAGTGTATCCCTTAAGCCTTAGATTTAATGGTACTCCTTATGCACTGTCTTCATTCTTACTTGTTTGGGCTGTTTGGTATTGATGCACACAAAGGCAGACAAATCCAGAGTTTAATAAGTAGTCCAGAGTGGGTGTACATAATTATATATGTTCCATGTGGTTACACATTTATATACACACATACATGTGTATAACACTGTCAAGTTTCACATTAATGCCAACATCAGACTGCGCTAGTTTTGTGTTTTTTAGGAGTAGAGGGAAGGTTAACTTTTTTGTTCAGTTTGTATTCAGGTATTGGAGAGTAAATTTGTACTCATTGTCTGCCCTCTCTCTCCTCTCTAACGTTGTTAGGTAGCATGTTGAGCACTACAGATCTCACAGTGCCAAATGGAGCTGGAAGCAGCCCAGTGGGTGAGTGAATTCTATTGTGTAACGTTGTAGGTATCTATTTTAACTAAGGCATAAAGAATATTATTGCTGAAACAAAGTCTACTACCTTCTGAGGAAGTTTGTTTGTTAGTTGGATTTTGAGACAGGGTCTCATTAGGCAGTTCAGGTTTGCTATGTAGCCCAACCTGGCCTCAAACTATTAGTGATCCTCCTGTTTGAGCTCCCGAGTGCTGAGATTACAGGCATGTGCCACCACTCCTAGCTGCAGGGATGCTTCAGTACACATTTCCCCGTAATACCCAGTTTATTCCTTACACCTGGGCCTTAAGTTCAGTTAAGCATTTACTTGGTGCCTCCTTCACACCAGACATCATTGTTTTCTAAAGCACAAATTGCTTTAATGTAGCGTATACATCAAGATAGTTTCATCGCTTCTCGGCCTTTTGGCTAAGATCAAGTGTAGTACATCAAGATAGTTTCTTGGGTTTTCTAATCTTCTTTCCTTACCAAAGACTATTAGCAACTGTTACACTATGTCTTAGAGCAGCTGGAAATGTTTTCAGAGATTGGAATGTGGAGAAATGATGGGCCTTCTAGAGGTGCAGTGAGAATGAGAATTGAAAAGTTTGTCTCAAAGGTCTTCTTTGGTAGTCACTTACATTTACCTTGTTCTTTTTGCAGCCAAATAGGTTCTTTCACTTTGAGGCTCCTCCCAAGATGATTGACTAGCAGTTTAACTACATATAATAAATGTGTCTTACATACTGGAACAATAGGTTATGTTCTTAATATCACAAAAACATAGTTACGTATGGCAAAAAGTTACAAGAATAAGTGTAACCCTTTGGATTTTCAGCCCATTGTCATCTTGTTAATTTGTGATAATCACAGTTGCCATTATCATGATCTAAAAGCAAGGGCAGGGAATTCATTCCCTGCTAAGATATTGTATGTCCTGGAGACATCTGAAAACAGGTTACTTCCAGGAAATATTTCTAAATGCTTATTCCACAAAACGTCAGGAGCTTCTACCTTAAGGTTATTGTGGAGTGATTCATTGTCTTTAATAAAGTGATGAGAAACATATTATTGAGTGAAGTGTTACAAAATGAAATAGTGATTTCAAGGTAGGAATTTACGCCTAAACTGTGCTGTATTAAGTCCTCTTAATGGAATTAAACAGATAAAATGTGTTGTAGGGTCTTATTTAGCAGAAAACAGTTAAATGTGAGAAAATATATAAAGGTGTTACCAATTAAGACTGCTCATCTTATATGTATCTTTCCAAATATTTATAGCTTAACTTTTAAATTTAGTGTTGTTTGTATCCCACATACCTTTTTTGTATACATTTTCTCTTATGCTTCCTGCCCCACTGAAAGTTCCCGCCCAAGAATTGAGAAGCTTGGTATACTCCTCTCATGTTGGGGTGAGACTCCAAAAGGCTAGACTGTAGAAATAAAGTGAAACACAGGTAAACAGTTCCTTTTTGTAGCTATATCTGATATTCGTATAATCCCACTTCTTGAAATTCTTCTTGACCTGAGCACCACTCAACATGGATCTTCATTTTATAATAAAACCTTGCTCCACAATTTTATTTTTTGGTACCAAGGATTGAACTCAGGCCCTTGCACTTGCGAGGCAGGCGGCAGCACCACTGAGCTAAATCCCTGGCCCCAATCCACAATGTTTTTATGGAAAATTTGTCAATTATGATAAAGTTGATGTTTGAACTTTGCATTAGTTGGTGTTATCAGAGTCCTTTGAAGTTTGCTTGTCAATTGGACTTCTAAAATCGATTCATAAAAAAAAACATTAATGACATCATTGTCTGCAGTTTAGACCTAGAGGAGTAGTAAGGACACCAAATCTTGGCCAGCTACCTGAGTGCATTATTTCAGCTGCTGAGGTTTGTGTTTTGAAATATCAGCCAGGTTGATAGAATTGAATGACCTGCTTTATAGCTGTCAGACTTTTAAAATCTGTGTTAACGATGTCTTTAACAAAAATTGAATTGGTGTTAAGTCTTATGTTGGGTAATATATCACTATACAGTACTCTACAGGATAACAGGTAGTGCATATGAAATTATCTTAGCCTTAGTCTGGTAGTTACCAAACACATCATACCATAATCATCTGCTTTAGACTCCTGACTTTACACTAGGTTCCCTTTTACTCTTGAAATTTGATTCTCATGAGTTACTGTGGTACTGTATAAAAAGCATTATAGACTCCACATGGGAAAATACAGCATTCATGCTTGATGTATTCACAGATTTATATCATCTTACAGTGCAAGTGAGAGGAAATAACTACTTTATCCTCCAGATTTGAGCCCAAGTCAAGTAAATCTTACAAGAATCAGAGATTCAGAAGACACATTCATGCTGTTGTATATTGAGAAGCTTTGTTATTCTGATATTCTGAGTGGTGTGCAGTATGATGCTTACTAAGCTGACTTATCTGTTACCAAAGTTAGGGATGAGCTCTACTCCACATGGGATAGCCTAGTGAGGGTTGTTTTTTTTGTTTTGTTTTGTTTTGTTTTTGAAAAACATTGCTTTCTGAAAGCATAACAGGTTGTAGGAAATTGTCTGTTGGTGTATGGAAAGGAGATACAATCTGGATTTAATACAGACCCTTTCAAGATATTAGAAGCAGAATGCAGAAGTAGCCTCATAAGGTTAACTGAAATTACAGATCCTACAGCAAAATTAAATCCTAGAATTAATCAAAATTAATAGATCAGTTAGTAAAAGTTTTGGAGAATTGGATAATAGGTGGAGAAGGAGAAACCACACCAACCATTTGGAGCCCTGAATTCTGAATGAAATCTGCTAGAGAGAAGCATGCAGTTCCTAAGTGCCATACCTCACCTTTCTTTTCTATCCCTTTTGGTACTCAGATACCACACTTTGAAAATGTAATAATTAGAATTCAGCAAAGTTGATTATATTGTCACTTAGGCACAACATTAGTTTTTAGCTTTTTGTATAAATAACTCAAAACAGTTTTTTTCAAATTCAATGTATTATAGTTAGGTATCTTAAAGGCTCCATTTGCTTTAGCAGATTGTCTTTACAAACTCTTAATCCATCTCTTCCTGGTTGTATATTTTTTATTTTTCAGAAGTTATCTGGTGTTTATCAAGTGACCCTATTCGTTATTTAATTGAAATGCTTTATAAACTGCAAAGAACGTAACAGATTTTAAGCAGTTATAAATGATCATACTATTCCCTTCAAGAAACTCCTGTAGAATTAAAATGATCTGACTACCAATAAAAAAGCTCTTGAAGTGAAAATATGCATCTATCAATTTGTTGCAGTTCTCCAAAGCAAATGATTTCATTTCTCAGGGCAAAATTATTAGGCCAGTGTTAGACACACAGTAGACAACCACTTTTGGTTAGTCTTTCCATATATGTAAATATAGGATGGACTGTGTGTGTAACGTGTTAACTGTTAGCTTCTTATTTTTGGTGGATTCTCAGGTGTTCTCTTTTGCTTTTATACAGGAAGGAAAAGAGCAGAATAAATAGAGTTACTCACTTCTTCCTTTGATCCCTGGAGCCATAGTCCAGGCTTCTCTCGCTGTACTTCCCCACCCCAATACTTTGTTCATTCAGGCTTGATTAAATTATTTTCTTACATTTATTCATTAGCCCTGCCCTCTGTTTTCTTCTCTGGTTCTTCTATCCTTTACTACTGCTCAGTAGTTAGTCCCTCAAAGGTTTCCCTAAGTAAACACACATACTTGTGGTCAGTGCTAACTTTATAGTTCCTTGTCAATTTTGTGTGGTTACCCTTAGTTATGTTGCTTTTACCCATATCTTAAGTATAATTTTATTCATACCTTTGTGGTATGTATGTGCTTTTTCTTGCTAACTAGAGAAAATGTGACTTGAAGACTATGTAGGGTTGTATTTTGTTTAGTTTGTCTCCCTTCCTATGTAAATTAAAATGTATCATTTAGAAATAGTAAAGGTAGGGTCGGGGATTTATCTCAGTGGTTCCACTGCCTGCCTCTTAAGCACAAAGTCCCGAGTTTGATCCCTGGTACCAAAAAATTAAAATTAAAAAGAAGAAAAAAAAAGAAATAGTAAAGGTAGTGCTATAATATTAACTGATTTTTAGATGGTTACAGCTACTGATGACATATGAATGTTGAATTCCACACAAATCCAAAAGGTCCATTCAAGCCTTCAGGAGCTTTCAGTTCACTTTTCTGAATATTTTGTTCATGCTCAGCTCTATAATAAACACTAAGAATGGAATTTTTTTAGTATATGTTTGTGATACATAATAATTACGTTCATCTTGGAGAATTGGTACATACACCTATCTCTTCTTGATCATTATCCCCTTTCCCTCTCCTTCCCCAGAAACACTTTGCATCTCCACCAAGTCTACCTCCCAGTTTCCTATCATTTCTTTTATTTTGCTGTTTAAATTAGTTATAGTTTTGGTCTATCATATTAAACCTTTTGCGGGGGGTTGGATTTTTGAGACAGTTTCACTATGTAGTTGATACTGACCTGGAACTCACTATGTAGCCCAGGCTGGTCTCGAACTCACAGCGATCCTCCTGCCCCAGCTGCTGGGATTACAGGCATGTGCCACCACACCTGGCTAAACCATATAATATTTAAACTTTGGGGCCTGATTTATTTCACTTAGTATTATACTGTCAAGATCTATCCATTTGAGGAATGAAATTCTTAAACCAACAAATTCGTTGCATTACTGTGCTCTTAAATTAACCTCTATGAACTATACTTGTGTTCAAAATAGAATAATAGTACAATATTCTTGGTACTGTCTATTACTAAAAGCAAACATTATACATAGTAAACCCAAATAAAATTCTTTATGTTTTGTTTCTAAAATTGATGGTTTTAAAGAAAAACATGGAATAATAAAATATATTTTTATGGACAGTTAACACTTTTAGGTTTAGCAATTAAGTTGTCACAAAATATTTTTATAAATGTATTGTATAGTCACTGTTATTTTCTAACTTTTTCTGCTTTATTTGCAGTTTACTTAGAAATTGAAATCACAAATGATACATACTCTCTTTTATAAATGAATGTTTATTATATGTTCCTGTGTATAGTACTTTTACTTAACTGTTATTTATGTGATTATCTCCCTTGTTGGACAGTAGGCTGGCAATTAGTAGCTAATTCTATTAGGTATTATCAGCTGCAAGTAACAGGAAGCTACCTTAGGCTTAAATAGTATACAGGATTTATCATTAACTTGTAAGTGATACAAAACTATAAACATGGCTAAGGGCTTTTACTTCCTTTCTTTGCTATTATGTTTTGTATTAGCCTTTTTCTCGTTGTGATTTTCTTTGGAGTCTCAAACTGACTTGAGAATAATATGCTTCCTTAGTCAGAGTGGAATGTGTGGTGTCCTTCACAGCCAAGAGCAGCTTATTTACTCAGGTTTCGGGTGGTCATTCCTAAGTCACTGTGGTAAAGGAGAATGTTCTCTATTTCTTGCCTTGGACCTGGCTCAAAATGCCTGTCCTCCCAGCTAGTCAGTAGGAAAGGGCTGGGGCTTGAAGGGGAGTTAACCCCTACTGGGCTGCTAACCACAGGAAGAACTAGAATATTCATGAAAATGGAGGGTCTCTTACCTTTATTTTGCATCTCATCTGGTGCCTGGAAGTGCTGTGTAGGCAGAACAGATGCCACAGTGTATGCCCATTTCCTTATTCACCCAAGAGATGGATGTTTGGTCAGGGGAAGCTTAAAAGTAGCAATAAGATGATTAAAGTTAAATTAACCACAGTTATTTAGCAAGAGTCTTAATGGAAGCAGAAGAAAAAGAACAGGGAGAAGTAAAGCCACAAGGAGAAGTACTTGAGGAAAATGAAGCATTAGTGCTAAGTGCTAAATAAGCTACCTTTTAAGGAGCTGCCTGAAACCTGAATGAGTACCCAGAACCTAGCAGTAGTCCCTGACTGCATAGGCTGGCTTCAGGCTTTTAAAAAAAGTCTCTATTATCATAATCCCCAGTATGAGCTGACCCTTAGAAATGTGTGTTGTATTTTAAAATGCCTTTTATCCTGGGTCCAAGCAATAATGCTGCAAACAAGTGGCATTAGTCTTAAGCTGGTTGACTTTGTTTGCTTATTTTAAAATATTGAAGGATACGTAGTTAGTAGTGAGTTTTATTAAATTCATTTGTAAGTGGGGACTGGGAAAAGCATGCTTTGTATTTGTGACAAAGTATTTTTAATAATTCTTTTTATGTTAATCTTTTCTCTAGGGAATGGGTTTGTAAACTCGAGAGCTTCTCCAAATTTGATTGGAAATACCGGTGCAAATAGTATAGGCAAAGTCATGCCTACAAAGTCTCCCCCTCCACCAGGTGGTGGCAATCTTGGAATGAACAGTCGAAAGCCAGATCTTCGAGTCGTCATTCCCCCTTCAAGCAAGGGGATGATGCCTCCACTGGTAAGTCAGACCTCCTTTAGCTTCATTCTTCAAAACACGTATTTTACATGTCTCAGTGTATATTTTCCTTGGAATTTTGCATACCTCCCTAGAGTACATACTATTTCTTCCTGATGAGTATTTCTATTCAAAACTGCCATTTGAAGAGACAGGTCTATTTTAAATACAGGAAAAAAAAGATTATGGGAAAATAGGAAATAAATTTTGCTTAATGCTTATTTAAAATTAAAGCTAAATTTGGAGGGGTTATTATGCTTAATTTTAACAGCCTAAAATCTTTGCTTAGATGTCTCATTTCCAAGTTTATAAATTAAACATGCTTTATTTCATTTCTGTGCTTTGCATACTTTCTTTTCATCTGTTACATAAATTTCTATGAGAGAACTAGTAAATTATTTGTTAAGGAACCTTAAATACTAAACAGAGAACTGTTGTAGGGAATATGTATACAAACTTGAATGTGTTATTCTCCAAATGATTTTCTTTGCTTATTCCTTCTTTTTTTTTCTTCTTTTTTTAATTGAGTTTATTGGTACATTCTAGGTATACAGTACAGTTACATTCATTACTGGGATCTTGTACCTTTACATGACAGGTCTTGGTTCTCATTTTTTCCTCTTACCTCTGCCCTCCCTTCACCCCCTCCTTCCCTCCCCATTTACAAACACTTTATTTCCATTTTTTCATTTTCTCACATTTTTTTCTTTTCCCTTATTCCCCTTCCCGTACCCTTTCCACTTTCCCTACCCCTATAGCCCTTTTCTTCCTGTTTCACATTGTTAATTATCCCATTAGGATCTTGAGTACTATTATAGTTTTTCACACCAGAGAAACTATTCGGAATTTACACATGTGTGACATTTATTTCATTATGAGTATATCCTCAAAATGTATCCATTTCCTATGAATGATGCTTATTCCTTTTAAATGGCATTTCTATTTTACTCTGTAAAGGATGCAGTACTCCCCTTGACAGTGTCTTCAGAGCTCTAGCCTCATTTGCTTTTAAATCCTAAGTCTGCGTTCATGAAGAGGAGGGGAATGTGTTTATCCCCCTTAACTTCTTCTACAAAAAAATTAGAATATATATGCAAGTTTTAAAACCATTTTTAGTTTAGCAACTGTTTGGCTGCTAGCATACTAAGTAATATGCCAGGTGCTCTTTCTACTATGCAGCTGCTAAACTTTCTGTTTTTGTTTTTGCTAAGTGAACGTGATGTTGTCAGGCTTAAGTAATAATTCCATAATAATGTAATGCTTTATAGATTCTGAAATATCCTATACGCATTCTCTCATTTGATTCTCAATTAGACTATGGTCATGGCTAGATAGTGATGAGAAAACTAAGCTAAAGGTTACTATTCTTGTCCATGGTGGTGTGAAATTGAGACTATAAGTCTTTTTAAGTCTTGTTCTATGGGTCAAAAACAAAGAATACTTTTTTACTTGGAGATACATAAAGGTGAAACCAAATCACTCACAAATTTACAATGAAAAGAAGTTGAACATACAGAAAACTCAGTTTTTGTTTTTTTAGTCTGTCCTAGTGCTGGGATTTCAGGGCAACCAACTGGCCTGAAGCATGGGGCAAGGCAGGTACTCTGGGCAGAGATGACATCGGAGCACTGGCAGGTCACAGGTGATAAGAGCTAAGCTGGAGTGATTAGTGAGTTGCTGGAGGCCAAGTGTATATTTTGGGAACCTTTGAAACTGGTGGGGGCCACAATGTGGATTGAGTCCATTTTCTCCTATAGATTTTTTTAAACCTTGAGCCTCACTGGGTGCTTCACATGAAAGAGGAGGGTTGCCCTGAAAAAGCCTCTGGATAGCACAGGTGGGAGAGGGGATTAGTGGACACTACAGTAGAGGTAAAAGTTATGTTTAGTTCTTTCAGTCCTTTACCTTGCATGGAAGAAAAACCTTAATCTGTGAGGAGATGGACAACACACAGTGTTACTCTTAGGGCACTGGTGAAATCCCCATGTTTGGAGAAGTGGAAAAGGAAAATTTCCATCTTTGCTCATTGTGGAGGAGCAGAAAGACATGGTGGGTAGAGAGCAGAGCCATGAGAGTGGCAGCGTGGCTGAGAAGCCGTAGTGTGAGGCACTTCACAGAGAAGATGATCCACATTGAAAATGGGGCAGCCACTGACGAAGCAAATCTGACAAACTGGTCACCTATCACAAGAGAGATTTGAAGCTTGTGGTAGATACACTGTGGCAGCCATACAATAATAAAGCCCAAAGCCACTTCAGTTCCTAAGAAAATTAATTCAACAGGAGGAAAGACTTAGGTCAGAAAGTCAGGAGGAATTAACTCCTACTGAAATACAAAGAATAAGACATGCCAAAACAAAATAAAATGAAACAAAAAGCAGAGCAAAACAGTTCAGAGGTGTGAGACTTTATCAACATATTTGTAATTAAAATTCCCAAGAAAAGAGCAAAACAATATTTTAAGGTGCAGTAACAAACACTAGATAGATAAATATTGTCATTGCACACACATGCACGTACATTCAGACTGCTAAAACTAAAAGCTAAAGACTTATGAGAAAAGACATACTGCATATAGAACAAAGGTAAGCACTAAAAACATACTTCTCTTCAGGATCTGTACAAGCTAGGAAACAATGGAGTATATATTTAATGTGCTAAAATTTAAGAAAACAAAACTATTAACCCAGGATTCTATACCTGGCAAAAAATGTTTCAAAAACAAAGGCAAAAGAGAGACTTCTGAAACGAAAATCATGGGAATTTATTGCCAGCAGAGCTCTACAAGAAATGTTAAGGAAACGCCTTCTGTAGAAGGGATGATAGCATCAAAAACTTGAGTCTACTCAAAGAAATAAGGAAATTATATAAATGGAGATAAAATTATTTTTCTCTACTTTTTATTAGCTTTTTAGGATAGTTTTTAATTTATAGATATATTAGAATCTTAGCATAAACACTTGTTAAAATTAATGGACTGATATTGATGGTATATTAACTAAAGTCTCTTATTTTGATTTCTTTAGTTTTTAATTTTATGTCTTTTTCTGTTCCAGGCTCTAATCCAGGATATACCACATTACCTTTAGTAATCGTGTCTCCATAGACTGTTGGCTATAGCAGTTTCTAAGAGTTTCCTTGCGTTACTGATCTTGACAGTTTAGAGCAGTACCAGTCACATACTGTTTAGAATGTCCCTCAGTTGAGATTTGTCTGATGTCTTCTTATTAGCTTGGGTTTATTATTACTCTGAGGGAAGAAGGCTATGTAATTAAAGTGTTGTTTACATCATATCATCAAGGGTGTTCACTATCAGCATAACTGTTACTCTTAATGCTAATGTGGTCACCAGACTGATGAAGTCTCTCACAGGTTTCTCTGCTGTGAACTTACTCCTTCTTCTTTCCATACTGTAATCATTAGAAGTCCTTACAGGTAGCCCTCACTTAAGGAATGGGGGTTATCCTCTATCTCCTCAAGGGAAGAATGTCTACAGAAATTATTTAGAGATTTAACTATTCTTTCTCATTTGCTTCATCATTTATTTATACATATACATATGGACAGGCATTTATTTTATACGTTGGTATACTTTTATACTTTGGTATAGTGTGGTGTACTATAATACTGCTTTCCTGTTCAAGTTGTTTTAGCTTTAGCTTTTGGGAGCTGTTGATGTGGTATCTGTATATTTTTTCTATCCTTTTTTTTGGTACTGAGAATTGAACTCAGGACCTTGTGCTTGTGAGGCAGGTGCAGTACCACCGCACTAAATCCTCAGCCCTATCTGTATTTCTGTGATGTCCCCTTGTACTTGTGCTTTGTGATGTTTTGTTTTTGTTTTTGTTTTTGTTTCGAGGGAAGGGCAGAGTACTTTTTTGTTTTCTGAAACTACGATATGCTCCAAGCTCTACTTGTGTTTTTTCTGCCCCAGTCATAATCACATATTCCTCCAAAGAACCCTGATAACTTTCACAGGAGAATAGTATGAGAAACCAAAATCTAGGTGTTCTTCTTCTTTTTAACTTCTCCATAAGACTGCTGACTTCATATGGTAAAAATAGTGGTAATGCAATTTGTTTCTATAGCACATGTAAAAATAAAATACGAGGCCATCCATGGTGACGCACATCTGTAATCCCAGCACTCTGGGAAGCTGACACAGGAAGATCACAAGTTCAGCCAGTCTGGGCAACTTAGTGAGAGTCTCCGTCAAAGTAAGAAATAAAAAGGTCTGGGGATGTACCTCAGTGGTACAGTGCCCCCTTGGTTCAATCCCCAGCATTAGAAGGAGGGGGAAAAAAGCAAAAATGGGAAAGAAAAATTGAAAATATATTATTACAGGTCAGATCTACATCATTTACAAGACAGATTGTCAGATTTGTTTAAAACTATCCAAAAAAAGGCAAAAAAGACCAAACACTATTACCTGTAAGAAGCCACTTTTAATATAAAGACATAAACAGAAAAACCATGCAGACCACAGTTAAAGCTAAAATCAGCATAATAATTTTGGACAATGTAGACTTAACAAAACGAAATATAATTAGGGAAAGAGGGGCATTACATAGCCCATTTTTCAAGAAATAACTGTTCTTTAATGTGTTTGCATCTAATGACAGATCTCCAAAGTACATAAAGAGAAAAACTGATAGGTAAAATAGAAAAATCTACACGTTGGAACCTTCAACACTCTTTCAGTAATTGACAGAAAAATCAGGAAGATCTGGACAGTTTGAACAACACCCAAGCAGCCTGGCTTGAGAATTGTTTACAGAATCCTGTACTTAACAAAAACGGGATACACGTTTTTCTCAGGTGCATGTGGAACATTAATCAAGATAAGTCATCCAGTGCTATAAAATAGACCTAAGCAAATTTCAAAGAATTAAACTCATACAGATTATGGTCTCTGACCATAATGAAATTAACCTAGAAATCAGTAACAGACACCAGAAAATTCTGTATACAGTTTATTTAGAAATTAAACAATACACGTTAAGC